TTAAATAGAATAATTGAATTTATAGTTGTGTTCTTTTCTGAATAAGGGTTAATATATAGATATATTATATTATAATAATAATAATAATTATTATTATTACCAATATAAAATACCAAAGTTTATAATTAATATAAATAGTGATGATGACATAAAAACAATCTTAAGCATGGCTGCTAATCCATTATTTAATAATAGAGATGATAAAGAAGGCATGATATATTTTGATTTTGAATTATCGTTAATTCACCATTTTTTAAATCAGAAATATAAATAAGCATCAGATATACGAGAGAAGATAAAAAATTGTATATTTTTTTATAATTTAAGAAGGAAAGTTATTTTGAATTTAAACCTTAATAATTCAAAGATTTTATTAGTTCCAAGTTTAGTGATAACGAGATCTAAATTAGGTTAAACCAAATTTGATTTATAAATAGCCTCTGTTCAATTAAGGGAAGTGAACAAATGAAAAAGCAAGATTCCGAGCTGAATGGAATGTGATAATCTAAAAACTAATAAAGAAAGTTAATATCTACCCTAAATTACCAAAATTTGAAAGGTAATATATAGCGACTATTGAGTATATGTAAAAATAATTTTATAAATACTCTTGGGAATGATTTTCTAACCTAAATTATGCTGATTAATTTAATTAAATTAAGTTATAAATCAAAGAATCAACACTTCTATTTATCTTAAGATTAAAAATGGAACTACAATCAACCTCATCCAAATTTTTCTAAATATCTGTTATATCTCAACCGTGCTGAAATAGGTAAAGTCATCTATCAACGATCCCTACCCTTTTGATTGTCCATAATTCATACTTTCTTGATTATGTTTCTCACATAGCTCAGCCCCTATATTCCCTCCGAGATAACAAACTGAATATATTCCAAGACATTACTAACCATATGCTGTACTTAGATATCTGATTAATTACATCAGATATCAAAGCTTTTGAAAAAGGTTAGTATTACCTCTTTTCTTTCTGCTAATTTAGATAAAGTGAAAAATAGAGAGATCTGGTGTATGATTGATTGTCAATTGATCATTTACCAAAATTTGACAGAAGGGGAATAGGTGAAGGTCTGTCTCAGTTGTCTTATAACGTAAAGTATCTTATTTTATTTTCTATAGTTTCCTATAAAGTGAATAAGACAAGCCCTAAAATAAAAAGAAGTTTTAGATCCCTATGTTTATTTTATATAATATTTTTATTATAACAATTTTTATCATTTCTTCCATTAAACAACTTAATCAATCTTTATTCAAATCAAAAAAATGCAAAATAAATTTAATTCATGGTACTTATTTTAAATATCCCTTGTGATATCGAAAATCACAGCATTAATCATCATGTAATACCTAAGGTTTACTTATAGAAAATTTCAAAAGTTTATGGATCACCATTATTTTTATTTTCTAAAAACTAACAATTTTAGCTTATGTTGAAAAGTATAACTTATACATATGAGATTTGAAAATTTAAATGATCAAAATTAATAATATTTTTAATAATTAATTTAATTGGAAAAGAAAATGTAGATTAGATGTACCTAAGATGATCGTCAAGTAATCGGGTTATTTATGGAAAGTGCACGCTCAGTTTGAAGCACTTATTGTAATTTTTGCTTGCCACAATCAGTACTTTAACAAGTTAAG